TAGAGTTTAATCAGGTTAATTCAAGTTCGAGTCGAAAAATTCCTTGATACAATAAATTTCAATCTTCCATTTATATTATTTCAATATGAACTTCTAAAAGAAATATATCTATTTCATCATCAATATGATTTGAATAAACCATTGTTGCTTCACCAGTTGGTCGTCGATATTTTTTTATTTCGAAAATGCTGCAAGATTATCAAACTATGAATATAAAATATATATATATTTCGTTATGAAAGATTTCTATTAAATATAATTTGTTTATCCGAATCATGATGATATTTACTGTATACAAACTTTTATTTATTTCCATATTTTGCTGATATATTTTTTTTTTTATAAATAAACAGCTCTGATTTTCCATGATTAATAAATTGATAGATTGTTATTATTAATGAAAATAAAAAGATATTCTTCAGTCGAATATTAGTGTCATTCTTTCCATCTAGAAGACAGTTTTTTTGAAGATTCTGTTGTTCTATTAGTAATGAGTATTAGTATATTTTAATAGGATATAACTTTTAATATGTTATTATTTGATAGTAATGATTTCGAACTTGTAAACTTGAACAAAAATTTCCTAATTAATCACTAAACAATGAAGTTATTCGATATTTCGTCAAATAATAACGCATCAAAAAAAGAATTCTTATTTGATTTAATATGAAAAATAGAACATCTTCTTATCCGATTTCATACAGAAAATAATCCAAAATTTTCGGTCGATTAAAATATAGAGATTCTTACGATTCGTTTATAAAAAGAAATTAAAGTATAACAAAGAAAAAATAATACACACTTGCATTTAATTATAACCATACAAAAATAGTATCTTCATCTATTATATTAGCAAGTTCAATTCGAAAGAAACGAATAGAGAATTTTTGTAAATAACGCGATCTTTTATCATAAAGTTTTCCATGTTTTATTACAACCAGTAATAGTAAGAAAAGTTAATTTCGAAAGATTATTGACAAATATATGTGACATATCAATGATTTTATCGTCATAACCATGTAGTTCTATAATTTTCAAATCAGGTAGTCGATCGGCAATCAAATAGGCTATGTTTCACGAATTTGGTTATCACCAAACAGTAAAAAACTTAAGTTGTCGTAAACCATTTGACATCAGCATATCGCATAAAGAAGTATCGTTAAGGAGATCAATGAAAATATTTTCGTTCAAATCGTTTACAAGTGCATGGATTTATGTAGGCTCCTTCGAGCTGGACAGAATAGTGGAAGACTAGAAATTTCTCAAGGCTATGACTTCCTTCTTTCAATACTTAAATTGAACAGTTCCCTCTTCTCCATCATTGAAAGTTTATTTAATATATTTCTCCGAGAACAAACTCTGCACAAAAGTGATATTTAATGCATGAGACTTTCGTTATAAAAATTATTTACATAAGACAAATCTAAATTATGATCCCATAAGATCATATAAGACCTTACAAGATTCCGATCATCAGATTGTGCAAGAATCTTATACTAAGATGTTTGTATGATTTCGTAAGATCATACAATATGAATCTTACAACATCCGATGTCAGTAAGATCTTGTAAGATCTTATATGATCTGCGTATGTTTTTCTTTGCTTATTTAGTTATGTTTTTAAGACATACCTAGATTGATTGCAACTTTTGCTCGAAAATAGGTTAATAAAATATGAATAGTTGACTTGAACACAGTCACAAAGTCTTTATGAAGTTATTAGATTTTTTTCTAATTCAAGCTCAATTTCCAAGCCCTGTCCTATTCTTAGGGCAGGGCAAAAAAATTATGAATCACGATCAGGGTAGGGCAAGACACGGCATAAGAAAACTGCCCTGTGACGGTCTCTGTTGGATACTATTTATCAAAGACAATATGCAGATGTAACTATTTCAGTCGTGTTTTCTCAAACAATAATCACTCAGAAACGTCAATAATAAGGTTAGATTGTAGCCAAAACTGAAATATTTCTAGGGTGGGTGATGCGGCAGCAACGAAAATTAAAAGTTTTTGTTCTGATTGTGACAATTTTTATTTGTCTTGTTTGTTTTAACAACCTGTGTCACACGATACAATAAATGATTGAAAAAATACTGAAGGCAAAACAAATGACACATCATGTGTAACCTTCTGCCTAAGACAAAAAAAGGAAAAGAAAGTCTTTTTCTATTAAGGTTTTTGGCAAAATATAGTGAAACTACTGATGGGTCTCATCGTCTCAAATGTGTCAAAAGACGGTCTTCTAATATGTACAGTGTATCGCTCCTTTAAGGGAATCTCGATTATAGGGATCTTCTATTGTCGGAGGGATATTTACATCATATGATTTGACTTAAAGGCAAACTATCGAAGAATATAGAGATTTACATTTTTCTTATTTTTTATTGATCGTATTAATGTTATATGTAGATTACAAAAAAAAATTCAATTTGTTTTACTTTTTTTCGAGCGATAATACATTATAAATAATAAAGTGAGAGAAAGAACAAATACCTGAGCAATTTAGTCAACACGTGATCAACGAATAAAGCAAACAAATAACTGACGTCATTCTACCTTTTTCTATTTTATATATTGAAAAGATTCTTACTGTTTATTTTTACCGCATAATTCTCTATATCATAAAAAGTGTATTTATAACCCAAATGTGACATCAAAGATGAGAAATAATGAATAATAACAAAATAAAAGCTGTCAATATTGTAATATCATTATCTTTTTGCGAAGTATTAATACATCATGCGTATGTGAAATATAAAAAAAAAAGATTATTAGCAATACAAACCGGTAAAGAGTAAAAAAGAATATCGACACATAGGCTGAGTAATCAGTGAAAAAGTCCGTATTGAAATAAACAGGTAAATAATGATCTTAGTTCAACAAAAAGAATTTTAAGTCAGTTTCGAGTATTAAATTAATGGGAAAAATAATTTAAAATTATCGAATAATATTTTTCAAGTGTTTACTGAGATATTTTTACAAAATATATCACTTCTAACGAATGAAACTACATACGTTTAATTATAATTATTGTAGTATATGAATCGTCAGATGTGAATCGTCTTGATTGAGTCTAAACTAAAAGTAAACGAGTAGATGCCTAATTCGAATTCGAATATAAATGAAATTTTCGAAAGTACATAAGAACCACAGTAGGTAAAAATAGAAAAAACATTATCTGAATTATAAATAATAATTGAGATAAAATTTTATTCTGCTTTTTCTGTCGCAGTTATAGGAGAGACCTATTTGGATTATGATTTTTAATCAGAATAATTTTTTTCCTGTTGCTATAAGCAAGTACCCGCTTGATTCTTCTTTCATGTGTTTTCGAAGTTATTTTATGCAGTTAAAGTTTGGTATAGTGATATATGATCATTTTGATGTTAGTAATAATTTTTCGAGCTTCTATATGCATTTTTAATATTGAATTCTTGATTTTATTTATGAATAAAGTCTAGTGGAAATAAGATGTTTGTAAGTTTTCAAGAATACTCTATTGACCTATCGAGTCAAATTCCTCATGTTTGATCCTTTACATTCTTAATGCTTAGTCACAGAAGGAAAAAAAAACAGGAACAAGAATAAGAGAATTAATATACGATAAGCACAGAAAAGTAAAATGGTGTAAACTATTGACACAATAGTTAAACTACCAATAAAAGTCATTACATTTTCAAAGACTTTTTACATTCAGTAAAATGTATTTTAACTTTTGATAGTTCATCAGAGTAAAATAGATATTGACTCAATCACTAAATGTCTTCTTAGCTCATATATAAGACTTTCATTAATAACAAATCCTTATAGAATACATATCATAAATATTTTCTTTTGTTAAAATCATCATTCTCTGTATTATTTTCTATTCTAGAGTTGAATCAATCATTAAATTTTCTATTTACGTCTCAATTCTTACATAACATTGTTTCACAGCGCAAACTTAATTTTAAATTGATTTTCGTCGAAAAATTACGACCAATGGAATTGTTATATACAGTTTTACGGCTGCGGTATGCATTTTACTTTAGAATATCAATCTAGTATACTTTTTATTGTTTATAGCAACAAGTATTGCTTCTGTTTGCGCATGGAACCAATTTCAAAGGCTATTTTTATGTTTGCTTTATTCACAAGTATAGCAATGACCACTGCAGTGTTGATAGTGTGTTTTATTGCACCTGAGCCAAGTAAGTATACTCTTTAGTTCTTATCTGTGACACATTCAATTTATCAATTATTGATAAAATTCAAAATACATTTTATATATATAAGGTATACTTACGAGGCAAGGCAACGAACTGTTCAATCACTTTTGAGTCGAGATTTTCCTAGTGTTTATGAAGGGGTCCACAGCATTTTGTTAAAAAAAAACATACTGTAAAAAATGCAGTATCTCAGTATCAATAAGTTGTTAGTCTAAACTCTTCTCAAGGCATCGATAACTCATTAGTGACTACATGATGCACATAATTTCGACTCGAAAGCGATTGCACAGTTCGTTGCTTTCCCTCGTTAGCATCGCTATTCGACATCTTTCATGTAAAACATAAAATACATTGAACTGTGAATGTATTTACAAAATATTGTTCTCAAATGATGGAAAGAAAACTTTGATTAGTTGATTCATTAAGTAAAAGTAGAATTATTCAAGCAAAATAAACAGTGATTTAATAAGACAACAGAAATAACTTCAACTCAAATATGCAACAAATTATCAATAATAATTAATAATTTATACGATAATATTTTTAAAATTTATTAAATAATAAAAAGAAGTTATGACATGCAGTGAAAACATAAATCATTTTGAACAACAAAACAGCTCATGCTAACCGAACAAGAGTTATTTACAATCGAGATCAAACTTTACTCACACAGATCTCGAAAACATGTAAATGTTTTTACAAATTAGGACTTCATGAAGGATCAATGGCTAATGTTCAATTATTTTAAATTGTGTTTTTTTAGTTAGAACATGCCAACTTCACTTTGAACGAATGATGATAAGTTCGATTATCTCAAATTCACAACCACGTTCTGTTGCTGTTGGTGATGTCAACAATGATAATCAAATGGATATTGTTGTGGCCAATTCTGGTACAAATACTATTGGAATATTTCTCTCAAAAGGTAATGGAATTTTTGAAGAACAACAAATATATCCAACTGGTTATCAATCTTTTCCTTATTCGATTGTTGTCAGTGACTTTAATAATGACAATTATTTAGATATTGCTGTTGCTAATTATGGTATTAACAGTATAGGAATATTTTTCGGACGTGCCGATGGAAAGTTTTTTAGTCAAAAACTGTTTTCAACTGGTTCTTCTCATCCCTTGTTTATTACTACTGGTGATTTTAACAATGATAATCGAATGGATATAGTGATCGCTAACTATGGCACTGACAATATTGGTATCTTTCTCGGATATGGCAATGGATCTTTTCAAGATCAAACAACGTATTTTACTGGTTATGATTCTATTCCATTTTCATTAGCTGTTGGTAATTTCAATAATGACAATAATTTAGACATTGCTATTGCCAATTATGGTACTAACAACATTGGTATCTTTCTTGGTCATGGTAATGGAAGTTTTCCAAGTCAACAAACATATACAACTCTTCTGAATTCAAATCCATCTTCGATTGCCGTTGGAGATTTTAACAATGATAATCAATTAGATATTGTTGTTGCCAATAATGGGACGGGTAGTATAGGTATATTTTTTGGTCATGGTAATGGCACTTTTCTAGCACAAAAAGAGTATCCAATTGGCTTCAATTCTCATCCACAACATATTACTGTCGGTGATTTTAACAAAGATCATCAATTGGATATTGTCATTGCTGATTCAAATAACAATCAAGTACATATTCTTCCAGGTTATAGAAATGGAACGTTTTCAACAATAACAACATATGACACAATATCTCAGTCTAATCCATTATGGATTGCGGTGGCTGACTTTGACCATGACAATCAATCAGATATTGTTGTTGCTAACTATGGTACTAATAATGTACTTGTACTTATCGATTATTCCATAAAACCATCTGCGAAACAAAAGATCTATTATGATGGACCACCAAATGGTGTGGTCACAGTTGCTGTTAGTGATTTTAACAACGACCATATCGTTGATATAGTTTTTACCGTATATAGCGGCATAGGCATACTGACTGGTTTGGGTAACGGAACTTTTGATAGCATAGCAACGTATTCGGCTGGTCATGCAGCTTTTCTACAGTATGTCTGTGTTGGAGATTTGAATAATGACAGCAGAATGGATATCGTCGTCGCTGATAGGAGTTCTGATGGTGTGGGCGTTTTTCTTGGGTATGGGAACGGGACTTTTGCTATGATGACGAATTATTCTACGGGTATCGGTTCGAAGCCATGGTGGGTAGCTCTTGCTGATGTTAATAATGATAACCGATTGGATATTGTTTCGGCTAATACATACACTAGCAGTATAGGTATTTTTCTTGGACATGGGGATGGTAGTTTTGCTACCATGGTGAACTATTCTACTGGAATTAATTCTCAGCCATATTCAGTCGCTGTTGGTGATATCAATAATGATAAATATTTGGATATTGTTGTCACTAATTGGAAGGGCAGTGTAATTATTTTTCTTGGACACGATAGTGGAACTTTTACAATAGGATCAATACTTTCTATAGATGGTAGTCCCTTTTCGATCACTCTTGCTGATTTCAATAGTGACAATCATCTTGATATTGCTATCGCTAATATTGCTAGGGACAATGTAGGCGTTTTTCTTGGATATGGGAATGGTACGTTTGCAACACAAACAACTTATTCAACTGGTCCTGGTTCTTCCCCATACTATGTTATCGTTGCTGATTTCAACAATGATAACATAGATGACATGGCTGTCACCAATTATCAACATCAAGAAGTACTTATATTTTATGGACATAGCAATGGAACTTTTCAACTTGAAAGGAGATATCCAACTGGAGATCGATCGAAGCCATACGCTATGACTGTCGCTGATTTCGACAATAACAAACAATTAGAAATTGTCGTTGCCCTTTTTGGTACTGGAGATATAGCAATCTTAACTGAATATTATGCTGTAGAATTTGCTCATCAAACAATATATTCAACTGGTTCTGCTTCACAACCATTTTCGGTCGCTGTTGGTGACTTTAATAATGATAATCGATCAGATATCGTCGTTGCCAATTCAGGAACTGGAAATTTAAGTATACTTCTTGGTTCGAATAATGGCACGTTTGGTATGGAAATGATGTATTCAATTGGTGCTGATTCTCGTCCACAGTATGTTTTCACTTGTGACATCAATAACGATCATAAACTAGACATAGTCAGTGTTAATTCAAAAAATGATACCTTCAGTATCTTAATGGGACATGGTGATGGAACTTTTGCAGAACAACTTATCCATTCAACTGGAGATGGCTCACATCCATATGCTATGGCTTCGGGTGATTTTAACAATGATAATCGATTGGATTTTGTCATTGCCAATAAAGACAGAGATAGTATTGGGATATTTTTTAGCTTTAATTATACAACATTTCAGAGACAAGTGATCCATTCAAATATCAATGATGCAGGAGCAGTTGGAATTGTTGTTAGTGATTTTAATAATAACAATTTATCAGATATTGCTCTTGTATTTTCAGACAGTGGTAGTATAGGTATTCTTCTTGGACATGGCGATGGTAGTTTTATTAATATGAACAGTTATTCGACTGGAAATGGTTCACAACCGCATGGTATAGCTGTAGGTGATTTTAACAGTGATGCTCAATCGGATATTATCGTGACTAATACTGGTACTCATAATATAGGTGTTTTTCTAGGATATAATAATGGAAGTTTTGCTGCCATTATGACATATTCAACTGGAAAAGATTCTACTCCCTACGGCGTCACTGTTGCTGATTTTAACAATGATGGCCTATTGGATATCGTCGTGGCTAGTTATGATACCAACAGTATTATAGTTTTACATGGATATGGAAATGCAAGTTTTTCTATTATAAAGATATATTCAACCGGAAAAGATTCTATGCCCTACGACGTCACTGCTGGTGATTTCAATAATGATGGTCAATTAGACATTGTAGTAGCTAATTTGGGTACAAACACTGTTGGAGTTCTACTTGGATACAGCGACGGTACGTTTAGAAACCAAATGACATTTTCAACATCTGATGGTACTCGTCCGTGTTGGATAACTGTTGGTGATTTTGACAACAACAAGCAGCTCGATATTGCCACTGCGCTTTGGAATGATAACAGTATTGGTATTCTTCTTGGTTATGGAAATGGATCGTTTTCTCCTGTTGTGCGATATGCAACTGGAGACGGTAGTAATCCAAGAGGTATTAGCGTTGGTGATTTCAACAATGACAATCGATCAGATATTGTCATTCCTAGTACTGGAAGTGATAATATTATTGTACTTTTTGGGTTAAGAGATGGACGTTTTCTATTGGGAAGCGCATTACCAACTGAAATCGAATCTTCACCGAGTGCAACAGCGATTGGTGACTTTAATAATGATGCTCAGTTAGATGTTGTCGTTGCCAATTATGCGTCGAAAAATATAGAAATATTTCTTGGATATGGCAGCGAACCTTTCGGAGCCGGACGTGGATATACTACTGGCGATGGATCCCAGCCTCATTCAGTAGCCGTTGATGATTTCAACAATGATGGTCGACTAGATATTGTCATAGCTAATTATGGTACCGATAATATAGGAATTATGCTTGGAGATGGCAATGAAGATTTTGCAACCATGAGAACATATTCAACTGGAAATGGTTCTGCTCCATACTCTGTGGCTGTCGGTGATTTCAATAATGATCATCAACAAGATATTGTTGTCACCAATTCTGAAATCGATAATATTGCTATCTTTTTCGGTTATGGTAACGGAACGTTTGCAAGTGGAGTGACATATTCAACTGGTAGTAGTTCTCGTCCATACACAGTTACTATCGGTGATTTCAATAACGATAATATATCGGATATTGCTGTCGCAAATTCTGGAACCAACAACATATTTCTACTTTATGGGTATGGGAACGGAACATTCGGAAACATAACTTCGTATCCTTTAGGCTATGGAAAGCGACCTTATTCGATTGTTGCTAAAGATCTTAATCAAGACAGTTGGTTAGACATTGTCATAGCATGTTACACTACAAACCATGTAGAAACGTTAATAAGATCGTGCTAATATTGTTGTTCTATATATTTTCTGTATGCTTTATTCTTGCTATTAACTACTTAGAAATGTTAACAAAAAATCCGACGTAGGATATCTTACGTTAGGATTCGAGTGTTTTCTAAATAGATTCGCCCAGCAGCTGACTACAACTAGAACTCTATGAGCTCTATCCGATGCACTAGCTACTTTTCAGAAATGATCCTTTCATCATACAGAAAAACTCTAATTACTGCAAAAAACACGAAAAAAGCTTGAAATTTGAGAAAAATCCATTACGATTCGCCCCTGAGCTGGTTCTAACGAAAACAAATTTTTGCAGTAATTATGGTTCTGCTGTATGATGAATGGCTGTTTCAGAAACGTGGCTAGTGCATCGGATAGAGCTCATCGAGTTCTACTTGGCATCAAAGGAATCTCAGTGGGGTAGCCAACTGCTGGGAGAAGCCATTCCGAAAATACTCGAATCCTGACCTCAGATATTCTACGTAGGATTAAAAAAATAGTTTTCACTCTCTTTCAAGAAATCTTATCATTCGAATATATGAGATACAACGTGTATTGATGCTCCTTTTATGTACATGTATATGTATTCCCGTGCTTGTCTTTCTTTTTTTTCTTTTCATTGTTCTTTTTTTCATATAGATTATCGATTTAATCGCCTTATACATATGTGAGTGATATATTAACTTTGCCGATGAGATTCTTACAGTGGAGGTACTTGTATTGTAACCGAGCTAGACATGACATTTTAGCATCAAATGAAAGCTCTCACTGCCAAACTAACAAGGTTAAAATATTAGCGGCCCTTGATTTACCTAGAGGAAGATATTCAATTTTTACGGTACTGATGATTGAGTATATAGGAACCTTAGAATTATTTACATTACTTTTTTATGCAATTAACTGAGTGTTTTAATAGTAGACTTCGAGAATCTTTCTGAGATTTATCTATAGTATTAAGATCATGTTGGTTTTTATCTCTTCTAAAAATTAAATAGTATTGAAATGAAAAGTTATGCGATATATTTAAAAAATGACTTATGCATATAATATTTGAATTTGAAGAGCATTGATGCATCACTTGGTGGTCTATTGACCGTTTCTTTGCAATTGGTGTTAAGAAATCATCAAGAAATATATTATCCAAGAATTATTCTCTTTCAATCTTTGCTGTATCTACCAAGTAGCGCACTTTATTCCTTTAAGGTAAACTATGAATTTATTGAACATCGCTAAACATCTTCTTGATTTGGCTCAAACTGAATTTGGATATGAAAACTCTGCAATGACTACTGGTGAAATTTTTATCGTAGAACGATTATTCGAAGTTTTGAAGTCATTTAAAGATAGCTACTTCAGTGAGCTGTACACTTATGATTCTCTCGAATTCGAAGATGAATATGATGAAACAACTGAAGAAGAAGACAACAGTGGTGAAACGATTGATGAAGCAAAGAGCGACGATGAAATGGATGATTACAATGAAAATGAACATTCTGATCTGAGAAATCGTTTTACATTAGATGAAATGGAAAAAATAATCGAATGGGTTGATCAACATCCAAATGCTAGATTTGCAACTCTTTCCCATCGTTTTAAAAAGGTCAAACACAGGAATTCTATTACAAGATTTAGAGAATATATCGAAAATAATGGGACAAGAATAGAAAAATTAAAACAAATTAAAGAATTTATGTTAAACGAATTTTATCTACAAAGAACAATTGAAAAAGCAGCCGTTCATGATACCGACCTTGAACTTTATGCAATTCAAAAAGCAAGAGAATTGAATTGGGACACATTCAAGGCAAGCAAACAGTTTCTCAATACTTTCAAGAAGGAAAACAGAATATCATCAAGAAGGTATGATAAAATTATTACTCGAACTATATCAAATAGTAAAATCTGCAGTTTAGATGGTAATTTTTGTTTTTCGACTTTAAATTCATATGTCTTAATATAATATACATTAATATTTTAGATGCCCAAAATTGGATTGAAAGTAAAAGAACTATAATATCAAAGTATACTACTCATCAAATTTTAAACAGTGATCACTGTTCATTTCAACAAGAATATGTCTCACCAAGAACTCTTTCTTTTAGTGGTGAACGAAGAACAGAAGTAGTTGTTAAAAAGAAACATCACTTAACACACTCTTATACAGTACAACGTGTCACATCAGCTGATGGCTGTTTATTAGGTAAATTCTTTCTCATCCTTCAAGAGAAAGGAAATGAATTCGGTAAAACAGTGCAAAAATATTTAATTGTACCACCAAATGTTGTAGTAGGAGCTTCAAAATCAGGAAAAAGCAGTGGTGAAAAACATCACACTTTTTAAATGAAGTTCGGCACCCTTTGATTGGGGAAAAATATTCATGTTTTTCTTGATTCTTGGAAAACTCAAGCTGATCTAATAAAATTTAGAGCGGTATTTCCTAATCAAGACAGTCAATTATTGATTTTTCCTAAAGGATCAACCGGTTATATTCAACTACAAGATCTTTCTTTATTTCGCTCATGGCGATTTATTCATAAAAAGATTGAGCATTATGTTCATATCAATCAAACAGAAATGACTATAAGTGATCGTCAATATTTCATCAACATTCATTCTATTATTCACAATCAATTATCAGCTCCACAATTTAAGAATTTCATTAAGAATGGATTTATACAAGCTCGCATAACAAATGAAAGAATTGGACAAATTGAAAAACCAAAAGATGTTTGCTTCAAATTTTATGATCTGTATTGTTCAATTAACAATTGTAGTGAACGAACACTATTAAAATGTGCTTGGTGTGAAAAAACTCTTTGTTACTATCATTTGATTGAAGGTCTACACCTACACCTATAGTACATTTAATAAAATAATATATTGTGATCTATTGTTTTCAGTTGAAATAAAAACGAAACTATTGATGATTTTCATAAATCCTAGCTGATGTTTATCTATAATGATACTATTTAATTTTTGGAAGAGATTAAAACCGATGTGATCTTAATACTATAGATAAATCTCAGAAAGATTCTCGAAGTCTACTATTGAAACACTCAGTTAATTGCATAAAAAAATAATGTAAATAATTCTAAGGTTCTTATATACTCAATCACCAGTACCGTAAAAACTGAATATCTTCCTCTAGGTAAATCAAGGGCCGCTAATATTTTAACCTTGTTAGTTTGGCAGTGAGAGCTTTCATTTGATGTTAAAATGTCATGTCTAGCTCGGTTACAATACAAGTACGTCCATTGTGAGAACGATTCTGGATGAGAACTAATTTAGTTACTGAGACCCAGATTGCATCCGAGCCTTGATCTTTGACGAAGGACATGGTCATTGGCACGAAATACTTTCAAAAGTAACGTTAAAACCAATATCTTCTCTCATATGTAGAATATACGTTTGAAGCTTGGTTCCAACAGGATCAAAGGTGTTTAGCAGCATATTATTGCTTGTGAAGCCTCAATATTTTATCTATCTTGCGCAATGGTGAGAAAAAAACAAATTAAGCCCTTGTATAGTACACAGTTTTGCAACCTTCGATTTTTTTTCTTTCTCTCCGTCGATGAAGCTGCTCGAGCGGTGAATGAGAGAACAAGCAAAACAACAATAATATAGATATTTAAAAAAATGATATCTCAATAACATATGATCATGTGCTATTTTACGTAAATGGATGAATGCACACAAGCCAAACTTATTTTTTCGATGTGTCCATAAACAACATAATGCTTTCATTTTTTTTACATAGAATAACTTCGACTCTTTGTATCATTATTCTGCTCGTAAGCACAAAAGATTTCGCAAGAATACAATGAGCAAGCATAAGTTTTTTTGAAATTATATTCTCTTCAGAAGACGTTTTTGCATTATTAGTATCCAGCAGATTTTTCTAGGACCATTAGATTAGAATAATCACAAAAAGAGTCGTGCTCTTGTTGAGATTTGGTCGAAATATCGAATTTTTAGTAAATTTTTCTATAGGACGTCAGTTTTCGAGTAAAATCATATCTTCAAATTTTGATCTGAAAGTCTGTCAACATGAAGGTTTCGCTATGACTAGGTCATATATAGTTTTTTCACTTTTAGACATTATATCTTTGAAATATAAAAGTTTTCAAAAAAGGCACTATTATATAGATATATACCATGTAAAGCATTAATATTTGAAAGATTCATATATCAGCGACGAAATGCTCAAGAATGATGAAACTTTATACATGAGCTAGTCATAGCACGACCTTCATGTTGACAACGTTTCAGATCAAAATTAGAAGATATAATTTTACTCGAAAACTGATGTCCTGTAGAAAAAAATCCATTAAAAATTCGATATCTCGGTATTATAATCTAATGGTCCTCTATGCATGGGCATAGCATAAATGTAAAGAGAGTGGATCACTTGGGAGTGTTTCCTCGTAAGTAGCAAGAACAAAAAAAGCGAAAAATCTAATCATGTAAAGATTTTTTTGATTCAGTCGATAACGATGGTGATTTAATAAACATCTGTTTTAGATGTTTCATCGTCCAGACTTACAATCAACATTTCATCCTTCTCGTTCAAAACATGTGCTCGGTATCCGTCGTGAAGATCAATCACCATGGGAACGTCGTGCTCCATTAGCGCCTGAACATGTTCGGACACTTGTAGAAAATCATAAGATAAAAGTTCTTATTCAACCATCAAATCGTCGTGTTTTTCCAATATCAGCATATGTTGATGCAGGTGCTATTGTTCAAGAAGACTTAAGTAAAGCATCAGTTATAATTGGTGTTAAACAAGTTCCTGTTGATTTATTATTACCGAATAAAATTTATGCCATCTTTTCACATACGCATAAAGCACAAATAGATAATATGCCATTGTTAGATGCATGCTTAGAAAAAAACATAACATTAATTGATTATGAAAAACTTGTTGATGAAAAAGGTGTTCGTTTAGTTGCATTTGGAAAATATGCTGGAGTTGTTGGAATGATTAATATTTTACACGGACTTGGTTTAAGATTTCTTGCACTTGGTCATCACACACCATTTATGGTAAATATAAATAAAAGAAATAGTTTTTTTTGTTTCATCAAAATGAAATTCTATTTTATGTTTAGCATATTGCTCTTGCGCATAATTATCGAAATATTGAACACGCTCGAACGGCTATTCGAGATGCTGGACATGATATTGGTCGGGGTCTTATGCCAAAATCTATTGGCCCAATAGTTTTTGTTTTTACTGGAGCAGGAAATGTTTCTCAAGTAAAGAAAAATCTTTCAAATATAAAATGGTGGAAAAAAAGTATAACAATGTATTTTTGATGTTTTTTTCTGTAATGTTTAGTATCTAGCTGAAATCCAGAATATAAATCTTAGTAGTTAATCGAGTTTTCTATCGAATGCATTCTATACTGGGTGAAGTATGATGGTAAATTTTCCACCAAAAAAAAACGGACACGATAGTTTTCAAGTCTTACAAGACTTTATCAGAGCTAAGTTTTAGCAATGCCAGTTTAAACAGCACAAAATTATGCATGAAATAAGGGATCACTGCATTTTCTACGACCTTCTCTAAAAAAGCTAAAATTCGCACAAAAAACCATAAAAAAAGCATTTTTTTAGTTGGTTTTTGTGAGACTTTTAACTTTTTAAGAAAAGATTATAGAAGACGCGGCTATTGCTCATTTTGTTCAGATTTTTGTGATCCTTAAAGGAACCTTCTCTTTCCGAGATTCCTGAAGAACCGCTCATCAGAAATATTTAAAATTTTCAAAGTAAATAGATCTCATCGAGTAGAGCTAAAGTTGTCATAGACTTCAAATTCTCAAATATGTCTTTCTAGGAAATATCTGAGTTACAAAAGTTAAAAATCGCCTTGCTCTCTCAAACATAATACGCCAGATAGAGCTAGAAATTTCTTTTGATAGATACTAGACATTGTTTGGGGTTAGAGTCTATCGAGCCTAAGAACTCTTCGACCCGGAGCTAGTGGCAGAACTCTTCCCTACCCACCTCATCACCCCTGACTTCGCCACTCCTGGGAACCCGACGCGGTCGATTAAAATTTTGGATTCGAATCTGATTAATTAATATTCTGTGGCAAGAGCCCATCAGACCCAAACATTTCTGGACCCGGATCCGACCAACTCAAAATTTTTAGACTCGAACTTAATCCGGACTTGATGGGTTCTATTTGAGATGTCTATTTTTTTTAGAGGGTTCTTTTTATCTCTTTCCATTCGAATAGAAAGAACAAAATATGGACCGTACCTTCAAAAACATATGTTGTGTTTTTTACTAAAGCTTTTTTTTATAAAATCTGTCAAAAATCAATGGTGAAATAAGTTTCAAAAATAAAAAAGGCACCCCAAACTGTGCCCAGTATCTGTAAAAACGTTTCAACTCAATCATCGAACATACTATGTCTGAGAAACAAAGCGATTCTGTACTTTTTTTTCCTGTAAAAAAAAATTGATTTCGAGAAAAACGAAAAATAAACTTTCCTGTATGTATCAGGATTCTTCTCTTCAACTAAAGCGATCGAAAATTGGTTCCGTTGATTGGTGTTAGAGGTCCATGGCCCCTTCTCTCAGTACTTTTGGAATGAGAAATAATCATTATCATTAGGAGATTTTAAATGCAAAGAATAGCTGCAGCGCAAGTTTTTCTGCTAGCGATTTCGAGAGTTGAGTTTAATAAAAACACTAACTAACAAGAAAGAACTCTCATGTATACGACATTTGACAGAGGACACTTCGAAGTTATATTAGTGATTACAAATTAAAAGAAATTGATTTTAACATCAAGAAAGGAGATTCCCTTAATATAGCATTGTTAAAAAATACATGATTACAGAATGTTTCTAAGTACCGAACTGCTCATGAGTCAGAACTGTGTGCACCATATAGGTTCTCATCAGCTATGAATACTCTGAAAAGAGTTCCGACCAATAGCTTACAACTGCCGAGATTCCGTATTGTTTAGCAGGATGCCATAATCCCCTTAGGAAAACTGAGTTTCGATTTTTGGCTTGAAAATTTGCATAGAGACAGATCTTAATGACAATAGTTTATTGCAAAAGTTTCAGATCTTTTAGTTACTTCTATCCTAAGATATGGCTATCGTAACAACATATCTTTTACGCCGTTCATATACAACAGCAAACTCTGATATTCTCATTTCGTTCTTTCGTTAGATAAAATCTTCTCAGATCTGAAAACTACTGTGTCCGATTTTTATAGAAGCCTCCATTAGCTAATAAAATCATTATCTGGATTTGAGCTAATTGCTTAAAATGATAGAAAAAAAAAGTCAAAAATACATTCTTGTTCAACTTTCTTCCAT